CGTCCGCAGGTGCAGCCGATCGCGGCTCCCACAGGCTGCAATTCGCCGCTCCAGGCCAATGGGGGCTGAGGGAAGGGCGGCCAGCATATCCCTCGGCCCACCCCACTTCCCGCAGCCCCCATTGGCCTGGAGCAGCGAACCACGGCCAGTGGGAGCCGCGATCGGCCGAACCTGCAAACACGGCAGGTAAACAAACCAGCCCAGCCCGCCAGGGGCTTTCCGTGAACAAGCGGCGAACCGGCTTTGAGAACCACTGCTCTACTGCACAGAACTAGAGTAAAGTGCGCTATGGAACTTTTAGTGCACACCAGCAGTATCTACACAGACCAAGTAATGAGCAGCACGTTAGTGTGCTTCAGAAATGACACCCAAGAAGAACGCATTACTGCACTGTGTAGACATTCCCTTAGAGGCTTTTGAAAACATTCCCTGAATCACTAGAGCTTATCTCCAAAAAACGCTACTTTTTTTTTGTAAACTGTCTTTTATACAAAAATCCATCATAGCCAATAACAAATTTCTAGGCATCAAATACTGAAAAATCACCTTAAAGAAAGATATTCGGAGGGTATTTGCCAACATCACAGAGTAGCCAAACAGGTGACAATTGTTCTCTTTTCACCTGTTTTACTCGGGAGAGAAACGGTCGGACCTGCGGACAGGGCTGGTAAACAAACTGGCCCAGCCTGCCAGGAGCTTTCCATACACAAGCGGCGTCCCAAGTTTGGGAAACACTGGACTAAAGGATTTTGGATACTTTGGTAGCTAACCAGATTCCTGACTGCAGTTCATCTCTCCTTTGTTAAACTGAATTAGCAAACATTTCATCTTCAGTTCAAACACTAATTTAATACTGCGATAACAGAGTATCAATTGTTTGTAGAAAATTAAATTAAAGATAAATTACAGTGACAAAGTGGCAGATTTAAGATAAGAAAATTCAGAATTAAGGCCTTCACTTTGTCCCTTACCTACAATACTGTGTTTTGTTATTGCAAGGAACTATATACTTTTACTTCAGTTGTGCAAGTTATTGCAGAACATATGAGTTACAGATAGCAAAGGTTTAACTATGAAATTCTTGGCTTTTGTCTTTTTCAATCAGGCCAGCAACATCAAAAATAAAACAATGGCATTTGTGAGTATTTTTATTTTTTTTGGACAGGATAGAAGAGAAAAAATAATTTTCACTATGGTCCATATATAGTCTGGTAATCTTCCCGATCAGACAAAATGCAAACAGTAATATGATTCTTTCACAGACATAATAGAGGTTTCTTAAAAGTGCTTAGACCATTGTTTTCATAATGAAAATGAACATAACCATATTTAGAAGCAAAATATACCATTTCTGTGACAAGTTCAAGAGCTGCCTTCAAACTTCAGCTCCTCAAGGATAGGTTTTGGTTTCTGATTAAAAGGATGTACTGTTTACCGTTCCTTTGCACTCAACAGTGGCTGGTTACTAAGTTGCCCTACAAAAGATCAGTTGGGCAATCCTAATAACTCTCACACTACAAGAACAAGGTGACACCCAATTAAATTTAAAGGCAACAAATATAAAGCTGAAAAAAATGTTTTTTAAAACACACACTATATGCAGGATTAAACCATGGAACTCATTACCACAAGATTACTGCACAATAGCAGGGGCAGCTATGAATGAGGTGGAATAAAGGTCATTTGGGAATGGGAGATGTTGGTGAAAGATTGTGAACTCTTGGGGCATGGATTGTCTTTTTTTGTGTGTTTCTACAGTGCCTAACATAACAGGATCCTGGTCCATGGTGCTACGGTAATACAGTAATAAATAATAATTCCCCAGGATCTCCCACTTGGAGCTGCTAATATCTGAACTGCCTTGGAATGGCTAACAACCTTTTGTGAAATATATTCTGTATTTTTTAGGGGGAAAAGAAGATGAAGCAGTAAGTTAATGGCGTAAGAAAAAAAACTATGTTAGAATACCCGAATGCATCTGAAAATCATAAAAATAAAAAGGCGTTTAAGATTAGATGAACTTTCCCTCAATTAAGCATTTTATACATTAAAGTTAAGAGAAAAGAGGCTCATCCTTTTATTTAAAGTTTAACCTTGTGGATTTAGACCACAGTTACATGACCCCAGAGCTCCCACTCAATTCCATGAGAATTTACTCAAACATTATGTTAGTGCGCATGGTATAAATAGCTAGATACAGTAACTGGAATACAAAAAGGGACCTCTGAAATAGAACAAGCAGGATATTTATTTCTGTATATCCTGAGTATTTTTTTTACAGCCTTCCAGGAACAAATCTCATCCAAATCAAGGCTGAAGTTGAGCAATTATTTGTATGTTGGCAGGCAAAACTATCCCACCCGTCCCTCACCTGAAAAATTATCTGTTAATTGTCTAAGTAGCAACACCCAAGAGAGGTGCACGGTAATTTTAGGGGATGAATTCAATGCGTCTCAGATCCCATGTTAAGAATGCAGCACTAGCTGATTTTTAAAAAGCCAGGCATTCCCTCTCCCGCCCCCCCCCCACCCCACCAATGTTTTCCCTGTGAACGGAGCATGAAATTCTACACTGTCTTGAGAGACTTTTCATAACAAAACTGAATATTAAAACTACATAATATAACTTTTTAAATCTGTTTTTTACTCGGGAATGGATCTCTAGGGAAAGAGGTCAGTCTACCTTACCTACCTCTGATGATCTTGATAATCCATCAATATGGATAATATCAGTTTTACTGGCCAGACGGGAGGAAGCAATTACTAGATATTTGTGTGACCAACAGGAAATAGAGATGGATAGAACTGCATAGGGATGCATGCAGTTCAAGGGGTGAAAAACTCTTGAAAGGATATACATTTGCAAGATGACCCCTCAACTCGGTTTCTTTTAATTTTGCTAAAAGTGTGTCCAGGAAGGGTTCAGAAGATATCATTTTAGAGAGATTCAGAGTCCAGCGGGCTGATCTAAAGAGGCTGAGGGCTGTGTTTCGTGTAGGGTAGTGTTGTGTATAGAGGACAAGGAAAAGTCCCTAAAAAATTAACTAATCTAGCTCTGATAATCTAAGAACTACATAAAATAGAACTATAGAAAAGGCACTAATGGTCTGTAGCACAGACGCAGACACAATAAGAGGCTCCTTGTATGTTATCTGCAACAATAGAACTAAGGGTTACATTTTCTTACCCCCTGCTTGTAATTATATCGACTGTGTGCATACTTTATTTGTGTTAACCCAAAGATGTAATAACTGTTTCCTCAAACCTATCCAATAAGGTTTGTATTGTCAGTATCAATGAATTATAAAGTTCATCATACAAGTCTGGTAGATTGACATCTTTCCCTTGCTGACCAACTGAGATATAAGACTGTCTCCTGAAATTTTTCAAATTTTTCTTAAAAGAAAATATGAAGAGCTTGTTTACTCCCTGATTTTCTGCTACTATGAATTCTGTTTGGAGATGGATCATAAACAGGACTAACTTCTTAATAATCTTGTGGGTTTACAACAGAGTCAATCAATGGAGCCAAATTATCTATATTAATCAGCATTCCAAAACTGTCTCCAGTAGGCGAATAATGCGTAAATTTTGGCTAGAACATTGGCGCTTCAAATTTCAAATGAAGCACAGACCAAATCTCATCAGGTCTGCTGGTAGCTAATGGTCATTGTGCAGTAGTGTTTGGGATCCTCACTCTTCCTTTTTTAAAAGCTTGAACCTCTTATAACAAACTCCTAAAGGGATTGAATCCAGCACCTCTGACTCTAAAAGCATGAGCCTCTAGTGCTTGACCTAATGGACTGAGTCCATTAGCTTGGAGGCAGCAGCCAAATCAAGTCTCCATATATGGTCTAGCCACTAGAGGGGGACAGAGAGAAATGCTGTTAGCATGTGTTACAAGACAACACTATTAAACTTCACTTACAAATTTATTATACACATTTAACTATTATTTCCTCAAACAATGAATGAGACCCGATTTTATTTAAATTGTAACATTTATGTTTGTCAATATATTGTTTCCAAGGACACTGGATTCAATTTTTTTACCTAACTTGTTTTCATTGTTTGAGGATCTTTCTTTCTCATTAGACATTTTAAATATATAATCCTATTTTAAAAGATTAATGCTATAGAAAGTTTGCAGGGAAAAATAATAAAAATGACAGTTATTTAAAATGTAAGAAAATTTTCTTTAAAGGTACAGTAATACTAAGACTACCATAAACCTACAGTAGTGGAATGCTGAGAAGCTTTATCTTTTTCATATTGTGAACAAACAAGGGGACCAGGTTCCCCAACATTCTGGATTGTTTTTATCCTCTCTTTTGGAACATAACAGGAAAAATACTGAAAGGCTAAAAAAGTACAAAAATAGTTTTAATACAAATTAAATAATTTATCAATACATTTTGCCATAAAAATAGATTTAAGACACTTCAATAATAAAACACATAGTTGTGTAACAGATAAGACAACAGACCAAATTCTGCTCAGTTACACTTGTGCAATCTTTTGAAAGTAGTGCAGTTACAAGTGAAGCTGTGCAGAACTTGGTCCATTAATATCAAGGAAAGATTTGCTAGCTTTTATAAGAATTCAGCCACACTATGGAAAGGCTACAATTGAAAGGAGAATCCATAGTTTCTATTACTATTTAGTTTAGACATTCAACCAGAAAGTGGGAATTGATGAGTTCTCATAGTAGTTGTACTTTAACTAAACACAGAAGCAAACAAATATTTGTTAGTAAATATTCATATTATTGGATTACTGTGGAAACGGTCATTCTTTTCACCACCAAATGGGACATTAGCTAGAACTGAGAAATATAGAATAATTGAAAAATAGCAAATCATATTTTATGACCACTGTTTTTAAAATGCTTAGTCAAAAATATTTTACTTAACGTACTTTAAACAGCCCTCTACTGCTTTACACTTTGCCAAAACAAATACTAGGAAGTTAAGAAAATTGATCATCTTTTCAAATTGTTACCTCAACGATATCCGAGTTGGTTCTGCTCTCATGGGGTTCATTGTATTCTGTGTATTTGAGTAGAACTTTGTCCATATCAGTGCTGGCATACTGAAAGAGTTTGTTAGAGCTGTTAAAAATGATGAGTGCTATTTCACAGTCACAGAGCACACTAAGTTCGTATGCCTTCTTCATTAATCCAAATTTCCTCTTCGTAAAGGTCACCTACACAAGAAAGAAGAGTGGAGGTTTTTCAAATAACAGAACAAAATTTTGAATGACTATAATTAACACACAAAAATGGAGTGTCAATTGAGAGCTGGCATTTTAAACTTCCAGTAACAAGACATCTACTATAAGCATGCAGGCAAGTTTAACGTTCACTGTGAATTCTCATTTCTCCTACTCAAATATACAGTCATGACATTAACATGGTGTTATACAAGTGAAACAGAAGTTGGTGGGAACAGTATCTTCTACAAAAAAAATATAACTATACAAGAGCCAAAGTCTATTAATTGTAATAAATAAAATTAGTCAGAACTGCTAAATGGATCTGTCCCCAGAAACAGTGGAGCCCAGATATATTGAGAGGGTCATATTTGGTGAGCTCTTTATAACTGATCCATGCAGTGACATTATCCACTTACCCCTCATTGTCACTGAAAATTAAGATTTTAATTAGGGCTGTCGATTAATTGCAGTTAACTCACACGATTAACTCAAAAAAATTAACTGCGATTAAAAATACAAATGTTTTTCTACATTTTCAAATATATTGATTTCTTTTAAAACAGAATACAAAGTGTACAGTGCTCACTTTATATTATTTTATTACAAATATTTGCACTGACAAAATGCAAAGAAGGTACCAAAGTGAGATCTAAAAATAGCAACAGCACTAAACCCAAGGTTTAAGAATCTGAAGTGCTGTCCAAAATCTGAGAGGGGCGAGATGTGGAGCATGCTTTCAGAAGTCTTAAAAGAGCAACACTCAGATACAGAAACTACAGAACACGAACCACCAAAAAAATAAAATCAACCTTCTGCTGGTGGCATCTGAGTCAGATGGTGAAAATGAACATGCATCGGTCCGCTCTGCTTTGGATCATTATCAAGCAGTACCCGTCATCAGCATGGAATGGTGGTTAAAGCATGAAGGCACAAATGAATTTTTAGCACATCTGGCATGTAAATATCTTGCTACACCGACTACAACAGGGCCATGCAAACGCCTGTTCTCACTTTCGGGTGATATTGTAAACAAGAAGTGGGCACCATTATCTCCTGCAAATGTAACCAAACTTGTTTGTCTGAGCGATTGGCTGAAGTAGGACAGAGTGGACTTGTAGGCTCTAAAGTTTTACATTGTTTTATTTTTGAATGCAGTTATTTTTTGTACATAATTCGACATTTGTAAGTTCAACTTTCATGATAAAAAGATTGCATTACAGTACTTATATTAGGTGAACTGAAAATATTATTTCTTTTTTTTTTACAGTGCAAATATTTGTAATCAAAAATAAATATAAAGTGAGCACTGTACACTTTGTATTGCGTTGTAACTGAAATCAATATTATTTGAAAATGTAGAAAACATTCAAAAATATTTAACTAAATGATATTCTACTATTAACAGGGCAATTCATCGTGATTAATTTTTTTAATTGCTTAACAGCCCTAATTTTAATATACATTATGGAAAAGCATAGAAAGCAGAACAAAAGTTGACAAGATCAAATGCCTATATGCTGATTTTTATATCCTTTTATATTTAAATACTCTGAATATACATTCACTTTCTTTGTTCAGTATTTCTTATTCTTTCAGTTATTTTAGAATAGGAACTGCAAGCACTTTGATAAATAGGAAAAATTTTCTCATTTCATGGTAGCTTTAGTGTAAGTTCCTCTATACCCTCAGCTATTTTGGAACAGCAATTCCCTTCACTCAAAGAAACAGATATACAGACAGTAACCATTTACTAGGGGAACCTTGAATTATGCAACAGCCATGCTGCAGTATATTAGGGCAGGGGCCCTTTTTATATCACAGGTCAGGTACTTATATGAGGTAAAATGCTGAAGAAAGATTTAATCCTAGATTTACAAAATACAAAGGAAAATTAATGTTTTTTATAGAGCATTAATGTACCAAGAATGTCTTCAAATAATCTGGTGTATTATAGGTAGTTGGAAGGCAAGGGCAAGAGAACCACCACCAAAACTAATACTACTTCTAATCTGGATATTCTTGAATTGAGGACCAACAGTAACTTAGTTTTATCTCCAATCTTAAGAGAATTCAGTGATCAAGGACTCAAGTGAAGGAAAGTCACATATAAGCATTGGTCTTTCTCCCTTCCTACTAATCTAAGAGCTATTCTCTACTATTGCCTCACCTCAGACTGTGCATAGCTCCCCATTACAATTAAACTCAATAGATACATTTTGTAATATGTTTTTGTTATGCCACATATTGAAGTTACTTTGGCAAGAGCATCCTAAATTTAATCTACCATATCAAACTCATTTTATGTACACATTTCTACGGCACATTTACAGTTGCACAGGAATACTATTTCTTGGACTAGAACTGAATATTGGCACCAAATGCACTCATTGCACTATTATGATTTTGGGAAATGAAAAGTAATTCTTTTTACCAGCTGCTTTTTGGTTTTGTTTTATTTTTTAATCCTGAGTAGCAAGTGTCATCTGTCTCATCCTCTTTTTAACTCCTGGTAGAATTAAACAGACTGATAACTTTAAGGCTAGAAACATGAAAAAAAACAAGATGACAAATTTCACCACTAAAATCTTAATGCGTGTCATACAAGACTATTTAGGAAATATTAAAAACTGTCAAACATATGTTTCCACATGTTTTTGATTTGGATACATTTTCTAGGACAATTTTCAGTGAAGTATCTCTGAACATCTCTAAGCATCATTTTTAGTGGATGAGAACAAGTAACTACTGGATTGAAAAATTCTCCTCCAACCATGCTGAAAATGTATACCAGCAAAATAAAAAACAAACATTTTTAAACAATAAGGGATACATTCTCAAAGTTGTGTTCTGAGATTTAGTTGCATGATCTCTATTGACTTCAGCTTTGGGTAGGTATATAGATGCCTGATTCCTGCTGAAGGGAAGGGGAGTACAGAAAACAAAAGAAACATTAAAGTATCATACAAAAACAACAAGGAGTCTGGTGGCACCTTAAAGACTAACAGATTTATTTGGGCATAAGCTTTCGTGAGTAAAAACCTCACTTCTTCGGATGCATCCACGAAAGCTTATGCCCAAATAAATCTGTTAGTCTTTAAGGTGCCACCAGACTCCTTGTTGTTTTTGTAGATACAGACTAACACGGCTACCCCCTGATAATTAAAGTATCATAACGCCTTTCTCTCCTTAAAGCTGAACCTTGTTAACCAAAATACATAGCTTTCTTTATTTTCAATTTTAGGCTACTTTAAGAATATATTTTTCATCAGTGGAAATTCATTGCTCACTTTCTCTGATGGTTTACCGAAAAAATTAAAGGAAATGTGTTAAAAAAAGCAAGATTTACCAAGTCTATCAAGTGCTCTGAAGAAATACTCCCACACTATATCATATTCCTCAGTACATAACTGAAGACCAGCCATACTGGGTCAGACCACTGGTCCACCTAGCCCAGTATCCTGTCTCTGACAGTGGCCAATGCTTCAGAGGGAATGAACAGAACAGTGCCATTTTGAGTAATCCATTCTCGATTAGGGTACCTCACAGCTATAGCCTGCACTAGTTGATGGCCATCAATTATCATATACTTCTGCCACGTTAAGAGTTTACAGACTCCACTTTGTACGTATAAATTGCTAAGTTTCGACTAGCAGTCTATCACAGGGTAGCCGGCTGGAAGGGCAAAAACATGAAACACTATCCAATACTTTTGGTTTGCCAATGTTAATTGAAGCCTCAATCCTAGATTAATACAAATTCAGTTTGCCAACCTATACTCATTCTCCCTAAATCAGCTCCCACATTCTGAACATTGTAATAGACTTGCCCTCAGACCATCACTTGAAGATGAAGCAGTTACACCAAGGTAGTTTTTTTTTTTTAAACCTAATGGACAGATCTGCCAAAAGTAATTTAACTCAGTGTAGAGTATTTTACCAAATGAAATGCTATCATGCACCTGAAATTTTAGCTACAATTCAGAAACAACAGAACTTCTGGGCTTCCAAATGATACCATGATCAAGCACTCAACACAAACAATTGCTGGAGAATAAAGCAACTCTCCAAATAATTTTGTAATTTAAAATAAAATGTATTTCATTCAAATTAGATCACTCAAAGAATATAAGATTAAGTATTTCAAACAGCAGTTGGCTTCATGTGAATTTACTTCAGAAAGACATTTTTCTTTTCAGAAGTTCCAGAAGAAATTAGGCACAATTATAAAATCTTTGCTTATATATTTTACACAAGCTTGCCCCTCACTTTTAAAGTGAGGCAATTCTGCTCTTGAGAAGCCTGGTCATTTTCCTTCCCCTCCTCCCCTCCCCTCCCCCCCCATCTCAGTGAAAAATAAAAATATGTTCAAATCCCCAAACACATGAACAAGAAAGAAGGACACCTAAACATAGATTCGTAGATTCTAGGACTGGAAGGGACCTCGAGAGGTCATCGAGTCCAGTCCCCTGCCCGCATGGCAGGACCAAATACTGTCTTACAAGCCAATAAGGAAGCTAAGAATGCTAGGTAAAATTTTCAGCAGTGCCTAAAGCCCATTTAAAAAAAGTAACTTAAGAACTTATAAGCCTGGGTTTTAGGATATTAAGTGCCTCAATCACTTCTGATAATGGTCTTTAGAAACTTTTACCCACTCAACACTGCAGCCCCTTATTGCAATACCGGTATACTAAGCCAATTTTGGGAATTACTTCATATTCCTGAACCAAAGACACACATTGTGAAAATGCAATAGGCATTTTTACAAAAGTGAAACAACTAATTTATAGATTATGCATACTCAACTACCAATATGATGACATACATCAGAAGAAAAAAAAAATCTTACTTACATATCACATATCAGAGATGCTGCTAAATTGTGATTTGAATGAGTGACTGCAGAGTTGTAATAATTTTACTCTGAAATGGCCTCCCTTTTGCAGTGGCCCAAAAGCCTTGGTCAAGTCATCTAGCTGCTCTTCCACCTTATTT